ACGTTAGAGACTCTTTCGATCACACGTTGTGGCACTGATTTATCGGACCAGAAAGGCGTGAGTTCCACGAGATTACCATTGCTACCATGACATAATAAGAGATGTCATTTGCCTAGTGAACATCTCATCTAATGCTCAAAGATTTTTTTGAATTATTACTTATTAAGATTCTCTGTGCTATATTTTTATCTTTATTTGGATATCTCATTTTCAGTAGAATAAAACTTATTTTTCCGCGATCTTTGAATAATAAAATGATGATAAGAAAAAGTTACAACCTGATTTTTTCTTTGTAGTACGAAAACTTATATTTTCGTATATTCTAATCTTAAAAAATAACAATGCTAATCGATAGATAGTTAGCATTCTCTAAAATCCTTTTTGATTCTAGATGTGTTTTTCTTTATTTTAAGTGTGATATAGAAAAGATTAATATATTTTTTCATAGTCGAATTATAATCTTAAATCTTGAAAATAAAATGCAAATGATTTGATGAATGTAATAATACCACTAACACGCGTACACACCATCACCAATAAGTTTAAAAATGTTTCAACAAATCAAACAGAAGTCAATGAATTCCTGTAAAAAAAGCAATATAGACAGACGTATTTATCTAATACAGATGTATATATCTAATAATTTTACTTATAATCTATTTAAGATGAAAGAAAATGTATCAAAAGAAATACTTTTATATTAAAAATACCTTTTTCAACCCTCGCGAGAACTAGCACATAGCGTATTCTCCAAAGCTAGCCACTTTCCACTTTCTAAACAAGTCAATGACTGTACGGCAGCGGAATGGAATGAAAATTTTCTTACGACCCTAGTCACTTAAAAACCGCGCCCAATCGCTGAATGGTGTCGTGGGTCACGCCCTTCTAAGCGCGCAAACTACCTTCCTTCACATCTGACGTAAGTCCAGGGTCAAACCATCGATTATACGGCAAAGCAATAGAAATTGTTATTTTCTTTCAGTTGAAGTAAAAAGTATTCAAATGATAATTTTCAAGTCTATTAAACAAAATTTTAGCTTTAACTATGCAGGATGAAATAGTAATTTTATAAAAATTGTTTGACTGCTAGATCGAGAGGTATTAGAAATAAATATCGAGACATTGTGTCTTAAATTACTGTTTTTTATTTTTATTACCTTTTATTTTTGATATACTTGATTTTAATCATTACAAACAAAATTCTGATAAAATACCCTTTTATAACATTAAATTGAAATTGTTTTAGGTGATTATTTAATGAATAATTAATTAAGCAATTCAATCTTTAATATAAATAATAAAATACTCTTTTCTTTATAAGTATTTTCAAATTCTATACTTTAAAAAGTAATAACTGCTTTCATTTATCATCGTTAACTAATTGTGACTCAAATAATCTTCACCAATGACGGAGTCGTATATTTACCATCATAAATAAGTAGAAACTATAAAATACATTTTAATGGTTTTTGAATAAAATAACAAATGGATCAAACATTTATTATCTACATAAGATTCTATAGCAGTAAAGCCGTATTTGAATTATTCTTATTTTAACTTAAATTATTATAAAACTGTTGCTTAGAATAATATAAATAAAATCAAGCAATTACAAAAATCTATTACATCTTATTACACCAGTACTATTTTTTTCAATCATAAGTAATATCACATTTTTTCTACTAACGTTAGTTGATCCATATTTCATATTTACGAATATTGCAAGCTGCAATGACATTTTCTAAATAATAGAATAAAATACTTAGTAATAAATTTAGACTTTCTTTAACGATCGATATTGATTTTTAAATTTTCAAAAGATATGCAAAATTAGTTTACTTTATTTTGAGATGGAAAGAAAAGAAAAACTCTCATCTTACAAAGCCAATAATATTTGAACTTCGATATCAATTTATTATAAATTTACAAACTGTATAAGAGACTTCTGCCTACCGATATGTTATAAAACCATGGGCAGTGTGTCTTTAATTTAATGAATGATTCAATCAAGTGCTTTAATTTCCGATGAATTGTATATTATTACCTTAATTTACTAACATTTGAATGACGAAAAAAATACCAAGTTCATTTCATTAATTGCATGTACTTAATATATTAAAGATTCCTTAATAATTTGTTTGATTATCAAATCTCAATTTGCCTTCATTATTAACTTTTTGTGTTAAATAGTTGGTTTTCTAGTAATAAATTAATTATAAATATTCTAGGAATATACCGAAACAGTATTTTATTATAAATATTGCTCATATTTCACTTATGTATAAAAATTTAACAGTTGAAAGAAATTAAAGAAAGTTTTACTTTATAACACTATTTAATGATGTTTTATGTATTCGCTGATGTTAACTATATATTCGTCGTACATAATATTAATTCTTTGTGCTTTTCTTATCATGTTTTTCCTTCATTAAAATGTCACAGATAATTTTTTTGTTGCATTTCCTGAATAAAAAAAACCATTTTTATAGTTTTTATTTTTATAATCTGTATTTATCATAGAATGTTACTTATTGTTGTAAATTCATGGATTATTTTCAAGTTAATTATATAGTATATTCTATTTTTAATATTTAGCTGATATTATCTCGATACTATATCTTTCAAAATTAGTAACATGCAAACGTTTATTGCAACAATAAAGTGAGATTGCAATTTGAAAGCTGAACTATTTTTTCATATAAAGCACACATGTGCATCGATAGCAAGAAAGAAACTTGTTAAAAACGACAAAGCCTTTGAAGAATAAAGAATGTAGCATATATAAAAAAAATCCCCAATTACACGACGATGCACTGACCTCGAAAAGAAATAAAGAGGGTCTCAAAGGTACCCTTCCACAACGTCAAGTTTCTCATTGCACTTGGTTCTGTTATATATATGTTGTTCCCTCAACAAGGGCGTCGTCTCCGATCGCTTTATCGTGCGAACCTCAGCAAAGAGGTATACTGACAGTCTTTCCACTCACGTGCATGTACACATACTACACACAGACAGACACGCTTCACCTTACAATTTACAAATCGGTGCGTCTCAATATCATACGCATGCTTACAATTTCAAGATGTCTGTCTTGTTTTTATGTTATTATATATGCTAAATAAAATTTGCAATGCAATTTTAACAATGATATTAATCCAACCTCTCTGAATTTTCACTATGTTCTTTTTCTATGAACTAGTAGATATGTATTCAAAGCTAAATGACGCAAAATCAAACTCTTTTCAAATACTTCATCTCCATTCAAAATATTACATTTCTCCAAGAAATTGAACGTTTGGCAAGCAGATAACTGTGCACGGTTTTTGATACACACAAATTATTGAGTATAGTAACATAGCATGAGAATTGATATACACTGATTTATGTCGTATTACTGTTTATAATAGTTTGTGTGTATAATAAAACAGTACACAATCGTCTACATGCTGAACGTTTAGGCACACTTATAATGCACTTTTTAACAGACTTTTTTCACAATAACTTTATAGTACCTGCCATTTTTTCTTTTGGTATTGCTATAATCACAGCCTGTGATATCATGTAACTTCCCTCAGCTGTTCCGTTTTCAATCTCATCCAACGAATATTTAATCCACGTTTTGCAAAATAGTGAACAATATTCTATGTAGATTAATTGATCGTTACACTTGAAAGTATTGATATCATTGGAAATTGACTTCTACGATTCAAACTCTACACTGTAATATATTGCTGTTATAAGCGTTTCACCTCTTCTTTAAAATAAACTACAGCATTTCTATGAAAAATATATTTTTATGAAAATTCAAGCTTTTCAAGAATAATACAATATCAAACTCGTTGAAGATATCGAGTGCGCTCTCAATTACTCAGCTACTCCATATGGCAGCGACAACTTCGACTCTGTCGCGACATTTTTTTCTTTCGTTGTATCCTGTTTTCGTCGAAATGACGCAAAGAGTAAGATTAAAATATCGAGAAAATAAAGAGAATCTAAATATCTTAATGTTCATCTTTAATTGACAAACGAAGCTCTTTCGAGTCTGAGAAATGGAAGTAGGCCAATCAGAGAGTGCCATTACCGATGATGTCTGCAGGCGAAGCGAAATGAGAAGAGAATGATGTGTGGACGGGGAAACCTAAAGGGAACTGAGAAATAAATTTATTTGTTCTGAATAGAAAGTTTCTAATTATGTTCTTTCATCATCGTAATAGTCTAGGAGCCATGAACCTTACCGTGGCCGATGGAGGTCACATTAAACACCCAAGTTTTCTAGACGTGTATTGACCTCCTATATTCGAATTTCGAAGGGGTTTAGCTGGACGAGGCGACTTTCAATTGTTTTTTAACAATTTAATTATTTAAACCGCAATAAATCTTTTAGTAATTGAGTTACACACTCCATGAGCAAAAAAAAACTAATTGAAAATTTCTTATCGAATAAGTAGTACTTGAAAATTTGAAAAATATCAATTAGAAACCAAGTATTAGAAACCAAGATATGACAGTTTAACTAACAAAATTACCTGATGTCGAACTTTTTATTTGTTTAAATTGCTACAATTTGGCTTTTGAAGAACTTACAGGAAACGTTGACCAATCAATCAGTTCATTATTTTACAAAAAATCTGCCGCTTTTTACCAATTACAAAAATATTCTATAAAACCGAAAATATTACAATTTAACAAACATAAAAATGCAGCGCCGCGGAAGATTTGGTTGCTTAAGCCGCTGTCATCTTTTTATAATCAAATTACAGGTATGGTTAAGTAACCAAATGATTTGCAATTTTATAAGAAATACATGGCTTCTTGATTGATGTAAAAATACTAATTTAAACCCAAGATATAGCAAAATTAGCGCAAGAGTGGAATACGGCTATATCTACAACGTCTAAAGCGACGTGCAATCTTCCCATGGCTTTACTTAATTCATTATATTACTGGCTCTGAATAATATTTTTATAATTTATTAATATGTATATATTCTTGGCAAAATTCGGAATTGTCGTATGTTTTAAAGGCTCGGGTACTTTTAATAGGAAAAACGATTTTGCGGCATACATGAGTGCATTCTTTGTCGTTGCATCATTTTCTATCTATTCGTGCTACTTTTAGCGGTGATCGATATTTTCATTGTCAAAAACTTTTGAGGTTTTTAGAAAATAAAGCAAAAACATAGTATTTTCAAAAGTGCCAAAACAATTCACTAAGCAATACACATTTAAAAAATGATATGTATGCGGTCATACTTTCTTGCCAAATTTATTATGATTTTTTTTATTCATATCTTCAATCCGAACCAATTTTCTTACAAAAACGACATAAATAGGAATTATATATATACTTTGAAAACGCTAATAAGTGCTAATAGCAACTTAGAATATGTTACCATATCAAATTGTTTATTATGTTAAATATTATAATACAAAATATCAATTACAGCTAAAAATAGAGAAAACGATGCAACTATGAAGAACGCATTCATGTATGTCGCAAAATCGTTTATCTCATTGAATATACTAGAGCTTTTAAAACATAGGATAATTACGAATTTTGCCAAGAATATATACATATTAATAAATTATAAAAATATTATTCAGAGCCAGCAATATAATGAATTAAGTAAGTCTCGCACTAATTTTGTTATATTTTAGGTCAAAATTATTATTTTTACATCAACCAAGAAGCCATGTATTTCTTATAAAATTGCAAATCATTTGGTTATTTGACAACACCTATAACTTGATTATAAAAAAGCGGATAGTGGTCTAAACAATTCAATTTTCCGCGGCGCTGTATTTTTATGTTTGTTAAATTGTAATATTTTCCGTTTTAACGAATATTTTTGCAATTGGAAAAAAGCGGCAGATTTCTTGTAAAATAAGGAACTGATTAATTGGTCAACGGTTTCTGTAAGTTCTTCAGAAGCCAAATTACAGCGATTTAAACAAATAAAAAGTCCGACGTCACGTAGTTTTGTTAGTTACACTGTCATATCTCGGTTTCTAATTAATATTTTTCAAATTTTCAAAGTGCTACCTATTCTATATGAAATACATAATAAGTTTTTATGCTTACAGAGTGTTTAACTTAATTACCAAAAGATTTATTAGGGTTTAAGCAATTAAATTATTAATAAATAATTGGAAGTCGCCTTGTACAGCTAAATACCCTAGAAATTGGAATTCACGAGGTCAGAATACTATAAAACTTAGGTATTTAACACATCTACCGGCTATGGTAAGATTCATGGCCCCTAGACTATAATTTTCAGAGTGGTATTACGAAAAGTGAATAAGTATAAATCAATCAGTAATTCGTTTGATATACAAAATTAGAACATCGGGTATGTCTTTCATATTTTTAATAGGCGTTTGAAAATTCAAAGAGAATGCATTTATTGTAAGATGCAAACAAATGCTCTAAATATATCATTGATGATTATGAAATTTTCATTACGGAGGTACATTAATCTTAGCGTTTCAATTTTCATTTTATAAAAAACCAAACTTGCATCTATGACATCTCTGATCAAGTGTATTTCAGCAACTAGTTATAAATAAATAGTAGAACTTAAATTTAGGCAGACTTAAATTTAAATTAGTGCATTGAAATCGAAATAAAAAAATTAAATCTAGTTAAAATGTATAGAAACTGGCTTCAAAGTTAACCATTAATGAGCCATTTTTCAACGTTTTTTGTTATTAATTTTTTATAAAACCTGCACATTTTCGTGTGATTATTTTTTTAGTTGTCATAATTATTGAAATCATAGGCTTATTTGACGAAGTTTTAAAAAACAAACAATTCTCTGGGTAAAAGAATAGATTTAACTACAAAATAGATCAAGTAAGAAGCATAATCCAAATAATTAGTGCTGGAAGAACGCTCGAAGACAGAGCGAGTTTGCCTCTTCTAGCTAATCTGCAATGGCGTGATAGTAGTTGTGATAGTGGTACGTGTACCTCTCGAGGTATCTTCATCCCGTCGTGGTGATAATTTTGATGGCCTAGCAACCTCGCCGCACTCGCAGCGTATCGGTCGACCTCGACGTTCGACTCGCGTGCTGATCGAGTGCTCGCTGCAACAGAAAGCGTCAAAAGATTAATGCTGTGTTATGCTGACTTTGTGCGTCGACGGGATTCGCTTCACTTTATACACCGTAGTTTTATGCAAGTTTGTGGCTTTGCTTAACTTGCTTATGTTCTGTATTTCTAGAATGAAATTTTCTCGACCTCTTTTTGTCAAATTGATTTTAACGAATTGTTGGAGTTGTGTGCACATTGGCTGTTGCGGGATTAAATTCAAATAATAGTATTGTTAAAGAAGTTACGGAAAATTACACATATCCAAGCATTTTGTCATCAAATTAGTAGAATAAATAGATATAACCATCAAGTCGAGTAAAAAAATTACATGCTCATTTTCTGTATAATTGATTATTGAAAAAATATATTTTAGTTCTTTTTATACATAAAAAATGATTGTTATTTTACAATTAGACTTTTGGGAAAGATTCTTTTCTTTCACTAACTCGAGAAATTTATATATGAACTAGAGATAAAAATAATGAGTAATATGTTTAAGCATTGATTGTGCAAATGCATAATTTATAGATAAATATTCTTTATTTTTTATTTAACCATAAAAAAATAAAGTCAATTATGCACTTTCATTTACTTATCGTTCAAATCAAATCAATTAACAAGGGAACGTTCCCAACTCTCCACCTCCAATTTCGCCGCAATTTGGTTACGTTGTAGCTTATTGAAAAATGAAAAATACGTGTTTTTTTATTGGCGGAAAAAGCTTTCTAAGAGGTAAAAACTACTCTCGATAGAAAACTGCTCCTCAATGCAGTTTTTTATCTATATTTTGGTTTCAATTGATATTTTTCAATGAAATAAAATAGAAGTTAGTTTCTTTTTCCTATTGAAAAATATTAATTGAAACTAAAAATATTGATAGAAAACTGCTCTGAGGGGTGATTTTCGAAGATGGTTTTCACTCTTTCGAAAGCTTTTTCCACCGATAAAAAAAAGTACGTATCTTTTATTTTTCAATAAGCTATAACATATCCAAATTACAGCGAAATTAGAGGCGGAGGATTGGGAATGTTCCCTTATAAGTATTATTCATTAATTATAATAATTATAACTAAATTTCTAATCAAACAATTATCGATATTGCGAGTATCTTTTTTTGTGTATAAGTAAAAAAGATGGAAACAAATGATCGTTTGTTAATTGAAAATGATAAGTCACACCAACAGAGATAGGATATCACATATTTCGTTTTAAATTAATCTTATTAAAACGCATTTTAAACGAAAGCGGAAAGCTTTATAGTTTTTATAAATAACATACCACGTAAGCATGCATCGATTTACATTTTCATCCATTTTTCGCATCCTATTTTGCGATTCGTGACTTTACAAAAATATAAAGACGCAAACCGCAATACTTCAATTTTCGTGATAAATTTCAAAAGATAAGTAATTGTCCATCGAATCACAGCTTCATCTGAATCATTCAAAAATTGATTTTCGCACGACGAACACCACTCGTATCGAAGCAAACTAATAATGTGCATGCGGTGGATATCGAACTTTAAGCCAGAATCAGTCTCAAATTACGATCCGGCCTCATCAGTGTCAAGATTATTTAGATACTTAGCTTATACCACTGTAGGACATACACTATATGGATCTATTAAGCGAATTGTGTGTTTCTCTCCCACGCGATTTGGAAACTTGATGTGTGCCTAATTGTTTTGCGTGGGAAGGCCGCCAACTCGTGCGCGCAAGCTTATGAATAATGATCGCACGCGCAAGCACCGAGAATTACTTCGCATCCGTCACGCTTTTACCGTCGTTGTGCGATCGCTTTATACTTGCGCGACTTTCGCGTCATGCTAGTCTCACTCTAACTTTAAATATGTCGAGTACACGCGACAACGTTGCTTGACGTAGATTAAGTGGATTTTTCCTTGACTAAACACCTTTTTTTGTTTCACATGTATTTTGGTACTTTTACATCAATTACATAATAGCTAGCGATTCAAAATGTATAACAGTGGAAACTGGACAACAATCAATACTTTATACTGCAGAGTAGGTGGTACTTGGAAGATATCACCGAAAACAATTTAAGAGGGGACTAATCTACAGTGTTACAATTCAGAGTTGAAATCCATACATTGGATGCTAAAAAATAGTAGTCTTTGTGCGAAATAAGGACAAGACATTTTGACCGCGAAACGTGACAGGAAACCTTCGGGCAAAAATGGCAAAACGAGGCGCTCTCATGTCCGCGCCTTCGGCGTGATGAAATTCATACTTTAACCCGAATTCAGAAGAATAGCCGATCTCTGCACAAAAGCTCCATTGTCGTTTGCTAGCGAAATGAGGGTCACGTGAAAAAATAAGTGAAGAAAAGAGCAGTTAAGAAAAAAATAGAGAAAGGACGCTTTGCATATTCATAAGACTGCTGTACAGTCACAGATGCACACTCACGCATACACGTCCACGGGGAAATTAAAAAGTTAGGCGATGTCAATCGAATTTGCTACGGGGGTAGCTAGAAAGCTTTCGGTACGGAATGTTATTCGATTTTTGACTTTATCTTTACTATCTGGCTTTGAAAGAGTGTTTTTTTATGAACGGATAAAAGCTTTAATCTTCCTCTTTTTTCTGCTTGAAATATTTTTAGTTTTGCCCTGAAATAAATATCTTATATAAAATATTGATTTGTGTTGGTTGTACTTGTAATTCCTAATTTTTTCAATATTGAAATAAATTTAAAGTTGCTCACAAACAAAATAATTCACGGAAAATTATCTTGAAATGCTGTTTATCGTGAATGAAGAAGAGTTAATGAAGACATTTTTATCTTCCCGATGTTTTACATTTCTCACTGAAAACGTCCGACAGAGAAAAATTTATTTATAAATCTATTTCTACGAAGAATCACATAGTTCAATGACTGGAAATCACGTTTCTGAAGTATTCTTATTTTATAACTAGATATTACTATTTTTACAAAATAGTGCACTGCTGACAGATGCGTGCATATATGTATTCCGATAAAAATGTCATAACAATCGATTGTAAACAAAAGATTGGTAAATTACGTGTATATCTTTTCTTTCTATACTTTTAACACAATATGTCAATCAACATTTCTAGAAAGATATTTGTAAACTTTTCTTATTATTAATCGTGATGAAATGAGATGCAATTCAAAATTATTCGTCAGTTAAAGTCAAAGATATTGCCTCTCATGAATAACGAAGCGGATGCTAGATTTGCAAAAGCTTAATGCGCCGCACTTAGAATTTGCTTTAAACTTATAAGAAGTCCTCATCATGTTAGTGATCGTAACGAGCATCGCGGAAGAGAAGAGTCTTAAGTCTTACTCTTCTGTGCTAAACGCCTATGCATATTTAGTGCTTGAAAAATTGGTACATGCATACATTGCCTAGGTTTTTTCAAATTAATTTATGATGAATTTTTGTCCAATCTTTTTATTATACTTTTTCTCACTATTCCGAGCAGAATTTTATGTCAATATTTTCTTTGTAAAATTTTTAAGTTGAAAATCATCCAGAGTTTTACGGAAAAAAATGTCAAGTATTGTTTTATTACGTAAGCCACTGTAAATTATCTGCTAAACTTATTAACTTTTATTCAGAGCTAGATAAATATTTCTCGTATAAAGTGTGTAGGAAAAATGGAATTGACTTATGAGGACACAATTCTTTTTGCTCAAGAAACTTAATCATCATAACGCGCATTTTTAAGTCAAATATTTTAAAATTTATCAACGCAACCGCAATACTATAATATTATTGATCAATAATCAAGAGCAATTTTAGTAAGTTTGCAATCAGAGAAGCATTATAAGACCGCAAAAAGTCGTTAAAAGCAATAATAATAAAAAAAAGAAAAATACTCGACAGCTTTGTTACCCAGTAACCAAGGCATACTATTGTGTTGCGTCGATGACGGGGAGCTGGTAACTCTCTTCTATCAAGATCGTCACGAAGTTCTACAATTATAATAGTTTCTTTCTTACATTTTCTTACTTCCCAAAGATTAGGCAGTAAATTCCCGGATAACCAGTTATATACTTCATCGATCATCCGGTATCTCGAGAATTTCTCCTCTTTATTATTACAGCAACATTGTTAATAGCACTTATAACACAGTACAATTCCAAGTATTTGCATAATTATGTAAGTTCTAATCATCGTTAGTTTTTGTTTTTTTATTGGCCAATCGAGGTATAGTATTCTTAATGAATTACTTAATATCGCCTGACATCTCAATCAATTCCGTTACACAGATCCCCAAATAAAACAGGAACCGCTACGCACAGCTCACAAAATTATATGCCGTCGCACTTCTCTCGTTAATGTCATTTGGTAAACATTGTAAAGAAAACGTAAACGTGTGGTTGGTAATGAAAAAATGACGATGCGAAGTGCACACATGCGTAACAGTTTCCGCGCGGGTCGCTGGTTGGCTACAAGCAACGCGCGCTATATCAAAATTTTATGAGTTACAGCACGAAATCCCAGCGGCGTCGCTTTATATATGCAGGACACCTACGCGTGTGGAACACGCTGCACGCATATTCACCTCGCGTTTTCACTCTCTCAGCGTTTTTGAATTATTCGCGTCGCGATTTTCCGTTTTTTTCTCAATGTGCCTTAGTATCCGGTTAGACCACGCGAAGCATGAAGACGCATTAGAATTTTGATAATATAACTTATTGAACTTATGGATTATTAACGAAAAAGGTTGAGAGTTACGTCGAGGTATTACGTTGTCGTGTGACCGCAAAACGTGATGAGATTTGCGACCCTGTTATACATCAAACACACAAGACAGACTGGTGGAATCACGCAAACTAGATTTGCACGACTTAACTGGTGAAGGTATTCATTGATGCATACCGCAAAGTTCCTTGTAATTGCTAGGATGCGGCAATCTTCGACGCTGCAGTCGATATTTCTGTAGGCTTTGCTCTACAATTTCATTTCCAATGTGAATTTTAATAAAACTAATTGTTGCAAAAC